CTCTTATAGTCTTATTTTATAATATGTAAATGATAAAGTAATTTACACATTATTATTATAAAATATTGTGTAAATTAAAACTAATTAATTAAGTACAAATAAAAAATAAATTTTTATTTAATACTTTAGTTTAAAATTAACTTTTTTATTTTATTTTTTTGTAATCATATAGAAAAATTTAACATTATCTAATTTTATAATATGCGAATGAAAAAGTAATCCATATAGTAATATAATAAATCGTTATATGTGTATTTTTTTAATTTTATTTCTTTTAATAAAAGAAAAGATAAAATGACATATTTTAAAAAGAATTATTATTTAACAATCTAATTTTAAAAAATAGAAATTAAGAAAATTTGCTATTTTACCTTATCAAAGTTTTAATAGTATATATAGTTATCATTATTTATAAAATGGCTGAAATTATTGCTAGATCATTGGCCCAAATTTGAGACAAGAAGAAGGAAAATTATCTCATTGCCTATCGTTAATTTATTATTATTTCGTGTGAGTATAATTGTTCAATATCAACTAGAAGCAAAATTCTTTTTTGTTCTTTCTTTTTTTTTAAAAAACAAATTCCCTCCATTCAAAGTTCATTATCACACTGTATCACTTTAGAAATGTATTAGAGTGTAATTCTAACTAAGCGATTATATTAACTAAACTAGCTCACAATTACATTCATTTTATCTTCATAAATTGTTATCCATGTCTCACTATTTGTAATCCTCTCTCTCAATGTTATTATTACCAAACAAATAGCTCATATACATGCTAAAGTAATTAGCCCCAACAAAATTTAAGCAAAGCAATAAAAATACACCATCAGTTAATGACCAAGAAATCAAGGAAAATACATTTACAAACAATAAACAAACTTAAGAAAAGATAAGTTCCTTTCATTAATCTCTAACTTTCCTTTCTTGGGTGTTATCTCTTCTTCGTAATGCATCTAATCATTTTTTCGCCAAACGATAGAAATATGTGATCGATTCTTGGAAGCAAGACATTGATCATAAGTACAGAAACGGAAATGGGTATACAAATGAATTGAAGAATTATAACAAGCAACCCGTGTTAGGTAACTAAAGAGATGACGGAGATGAGAAAACAATAACGAATTATTTAAAGAAAAAACAATCATTTAATCAATAGTTGCAAAAATTTTACTTGATGATATTTCTTGGGTTTATCTTCCTCTCGCATGCCATTAATTGTCGAAACCCATAAAAAAACATAAAACTCCCAAAATGTGCAAGTGTGTGTTAGTGGGAAAAAAATTGTGATGTCTCTAAAGTAGTGCAAGTGAGTGCCGGGAGAGAGGGAAATTGAAGTGCATGAAAGGATGGGAAAAAGTGAAATCAATGTCAACGTGCTTCTATGTAAGGATGAAAATAGGCTAGTCTAAATTTTGTATAAATAAATTGAGTCTGTCTAATAATTTTGAAATTTAAGTGTAGTTTATTATTTATTATAGATTTTTTATTAAGTTTAGTTTAGCCTTTTTAAAAGTCTATTTGGTGTATTAGCTTTTTTAATAGCCTATTTCGTATTAAGAAATTTAACAGGCTATTAAACTTTTTTTATAAATAAACTATAAATCATCTAAGTAGGTATATTTTTTAAGAGTTATAAAGTTTATATCTAAATAAATTATTAAAAAAATAATATAATATAAACAAGCGTATAAGATTGTAAAACGATATGGATGAGATGAGACAAACTCGTAATAAATGTAATTGAGAAAATGCGCAATGTAAATAAGTATTATGCGTATAGAATATGTAAAAGACTCTAATAATTAAAACTTTCTCTCTCTTAAAGAATATGTAGTAGAGATATTATTTAATTTTAACGAAAATATTAAGATTTTTATTTTATAATTTTATAATTTTAAAATTTAATTTGTTTAATATATTATTATATTATAAATTTTATAAATTTTAAATATGTCATTTTAATAGATCTAATAGTTTTTTTTTCTAAATTCAAGCTTAGCTTACTTAATTAATTAAGCTTTTTAAAAAGCCTAAATTAAGTCTATTAATTAAATAGATTAAATTAGGCTAAAATTTAAATAGGCTAGAATTTAAATAGGCTAAGCTTTTGTTAGACAGCCAATCTATTTTTATATCTACTTTTACGTGAAATGGTGATGTGAAAGAGAGAATAGTGATTGTACGTGAAGTGGTAATGAAGGTGAAAGAGGGAATAGTGATAGGTCTGTGAATTTATTGTCTATTTTATTTTAGTATAAAAAGTTGTTTGTATTTGTATTACTTAGATTAATTATTTTAAATTTAAATTTAATCAAGTAAGTAAAAAAATTAGAACAAACAAAATTGGGTGCTTACATTCCTTAACTTTTATTTTTATTATTTTGTTATTAAATATTGATCACTTACTATTCATGTCTTCTTTTTCCCATGCTATTTGCTTCTCCTCTTTATTGTTCATATCTTCTCTTTTAATATTCTTGCTTCCTCTTCCTCCTTCTCCCACCATCAATTGCCCTCACCACAAATCATCGTCTCTCACAATCATTGCAACGATGTTGCAAACTATCACAAATGGCATCTGAAGCCACCACAACCTCGACCTTGCTGTGGTGATGACTTGTGTTTGTGCAAGTGATTGACTCTTATGGGAATGTGTTTCGATAAACATGAATCATGGTTGGTGGTAATTTGTGATGGGTATGGTGGTGATAACGACTATAGTTGATTGATAGACACAATGATAGTGATAATTCGTATAAATTTAGAAGCGTGTAGCACTGCTTTTTGAAGCAAGCAGGGGTGTCCTAGTTGGTTTGTTTTTTTGCCATTTTTTTTATATTTTCAATTAATTTATTTATCATTTTTTTTTGTTCAACAATTTACGTGAAATGAATTTTTTTTTTTTATTATTATTATTAACATCCCTGCAAGTTAGGGTCATTTTATCGCTTCATATAAACATGACCTAACGTCATAACTAAATTTAATAAAAATTTTCCCACTACTATACAACCTAGGTGAACTAATATAATTTTATGTATAAAAAGTAAATAAAAAATTAGTACAATTTATAATACAATAACTTAATTTTATTAGTCTATCGAAGACAAAAGATTTACCCTATATAGTTACTTAAACAAACTCGTCTGGGAATTGGCTTTTTCAGTCCAACTTCTTAGAGTAGTAAGTATTGACAATCAGACATTCATAGTTGATCAATGGAGTCAAACAGAATAATTGTTCAAAGTTGTGTTTACATGTTGTGAACGGAATTTTGATTAGCGAAGGCAGCATAAAAGAGAATTTAAAAAGAATACAGGGAGCACAACGAATTTGACTGTTTCGTTGAAAATATTTTTAATTTGTATTCCACAATCAATTGATTTGATTTCATTTTGTTAACAAAATACTTATTGTTAACAAATTTTTTAATTTAAATTTGTGATTATTTGTAAGCAAATTATCCCAACATCTTGTATATTTATTTATAGGCTCTATTCACAAATCTTTTCTCCATATTAAGACAACTCATATTCTACAGCCCAATCAATATTTATGTTTATATACACACTCATCACGGGAGATCATGGTCATGGGTTACACCTATATATGATCATAAAGATACCATAATCCGCTATAATTATGCCATGTTGACACACTCATCACGCAGCATGCAAGTTTGCTCTTGTATTAAAGTCATGTATCACCTATGTCAAGTACTATATATCTAGGATGTTACGCTATAGACACAAACACTGACTCAAGCATTTTAGTGCCTTTGTAGCTACAATATCTTCTCACCATCGTCAACCTTACGTATAGCTTTGCAACGGTAGTATTATTTAGATCTCACTGATCTATTCTCTCTATCCTCATCTGAAAAACACCAAATTAATTATCTTTCTTGCACAACCGTGATTGGAAATCTTTTCCACACAACCGATTATGAAGTTAGGTTGATTTTTTTTTTAAATTGATACAGTTTTTTGTTTATGATCTATAAACAAATATCACATTATTTTTATCTTCAAAATATTATAAAGGAAATTGTAAAAAAGATATATTTTTTCATTATTTTAATACATTTTTTATATATACCCAACAAAAATATTTTTTTACAACTTACTGCGAGAGCTTTAAAAAATTCACTAATCCAAATTAAGAAATAATTTCACGTGCTTTGCATAGCTCTAACTAAATTATCTTTTTTTGCAGTGGTATTCAATTAACTTAAGCTTTATTACTGACCTTTTGTTTATTTTCAGCTAAATAATCAAGAAACATTGTCGTTGTTGCTTTGCACTAACCAGCAAAGATAACAGGAAAATCAACAAGTCTTACTCCATCAGACAAGAGTGTTGTCGCATTCTTCCTAAACTATTGTCATGTCCTATAAAAGGCTTCATAGAGAAAAAAAAAATCATTTCCATCTTCTTGCATGGTTTAAAAATCAGACCAACGGATTCAAGGAAAACTAAACAAGTAATCCAAATAACATACAAAACCTAAATTTCTAAAAACTAGATAAGAATTGATAAATATGGATGTTAAAGTAGGTCGGTCCATCCTATTCCGTATTTTAACTAAATTTTTAACTTAACCGTTAAAAAGTAAGTTGACGGGTTAATAGGCCAACCCGACAAAAACAAAAGTTGACAGACCAGTAGATTAATGGACAGGCTCACCAAAATTAATATAAAAATAGAAAAAATAATAAAAACTTAATAATATTTCTATATTAATAAAAAATAATATTTAACTAATAAATAATTTTATTTTATTTTTAAAACGGGCCGACGAGCTGGCTCACCACGGCCCGGTATTTGTACTTAATTTTGCAATACAAGAAGAATAGCTAGAAGCCTAGAACAGGCACGACTCTCACAAAAGCGATATTATGTTGGTAACTGGACAAGACCACTTGTTTCTGGGGACAAATCTAGGGGTTTTGTGCTAATATATTTGTAAACTCATTCTTATAGTGAAAAACAATTGAAGAGAGAGAATAAAAAACAGATCATTCACTAAATCAACCCTCTCTTGCTAGTAGAGCATCTGCACTATGCATTTTGCAGAATTAGTACAAGCAAAAAAACTAGGATCCAAATCACTTCAAGTTTTGCATCAGACATCAATGAATCAAAATCTAGTGAGACACTTCAGTAGGACTTGTATATACACATAAAATGCCGGCAAATTCTTCAACCAATGACTTCTAATCTATGATTCAGTTCCCTTTTTTATCCTTTGGTGGGTGGAATAGATTGGTGGCTGATTAATGAAATATCCAAACTACCATAACCATTCATTTCTAGCACTAACTGCTTTGACATTAGTTGACACAAGTGGAAGTGTTCCGTAAAGTGAGATCAAGTCATTGAGGCATTTGTTTCTCTGGTGGCTATGCCCTCTCATACTGCTAAACCCTGATGCACCAATCTCATAGATTTTGCCTGCAAAATTCATGTATATGGTTTGATATTTCATTATCTGCAAGCTGAGTGACAGATAGAAATACTAGCCAAGTCATAGAAATCAAGCAATCATTATCTAGCTTTTCTGAGACCCCCGAAGTAATCTCCAAAGCAGTGATATTTGCACAATTTTCAAATAACAAGCAAGATCTTCAACTAGATAGCGTACATGAAAAGTTTATTTACTTGGGAAAATACGTGCATGGAAACTTTAACAAATCTTTTCTTCTAAATTGAAGTTATTACCGTAGATCATGCGCAACAAACTAAATCCTAGTCTTACAAGAGAAAGAACGGAAAAAGTACCTTTCACCCATATTGGAGGACCACCTGTAGCATTGGCAACAAGAAGGGACATTGCAATGTCTTCACAAGCTCTATTGAAGGTGACAAAGTTGAAACTCAAAAATATCAAGGACATGGGAAAAGAATAAGTGACTGGAATAAATTTAATATTCCTGAGAGAGCTAATTGTGAATATTACCTCTCGCTGGAAACATAGTCCTGAATTGATGGAGGCATCTCTTGACTATATAAATCCAAGTATTTCCTGTGAAAGAATGCAGCCTTTGAGAGAACCATACTGTAAGTTCCCATCCACCAGACAGACCACCATCCTCCATATCTGTAATATGGAACATTATTTTGCTGTAGTATACAAAGACAAATGAGTCAGACATAATATGCAAACTAGTAAGTAAAGTTATAGGCAATTAGGGTAAATCAGAGTTCCATTATGTTATTTCCTGTGAAGTCCAAATACTTCGTATTACATTTGTATATTAAAATTGTATGGAAGATGAGATCCACAAGGACTGCGTGTTGCGAGTTGTCAACCATCATCACTGACTCAACTTGCTAGCCATCACCACCAACCCATGACCCAGTAACAAGTGACTTTTGCAAGACCCTAAACCACTACTACGTGCGAAAGCTTTAAGTACTATTACAGGGGTCTTTAATTTTGTGTAAGATGTTGCGTACAAAAGTTTTGAGCATTGTAACCCCAATTTGTGTAAAATGAGACCCATGCGGCAGCCATAAGTCCTAGCTAGAGGAGACAAGTGATGATGCTAGTCGAAGACTGTCTCAAGTGTTGAACAATCATTGAATTGAAACTCACTATTTCAGTTAAGTTAAGTGTATCATATCTACTGGCCAGAAGCTGTACTCAAATATATTGAGCAGTATCTCAACCATATCAAAGCCGTATTGGGGCAGGAATGTATTTTTCAAAATAAAATAAAAAATTGGATACTTTTTAGATATATATCCAGAAGTATCTAACACGTATTGGTATCGGATATGTGTCTAATACTAATACTTCGGCCAAATTGGAGTATCTAGGCTTCAGAGATTACCACCAAGAGAGTTGCCACTTGACATGAATACAGTGGACACCCGCATCTTATTTCCCCCTCTTCCTCCTTTTTTTCCAATAAAAATTTAGTAACATGCCATGAGTGTTTCCTACCAATAAGTCATTTCCCATCATTCTGCACAGTATATTAGTTCCAAAAAAGCTTCCTTGAAGTGAGTTTGTCTCTAAAGTGAGCATGGGCGTATCTACTGGTAAAATTTAGAGGATTAAAATCACGAAATGCTTTGAATTAAATTGAGGACTTATGCAACCCTACTTGCTCATTTTAGAGATAATATCACATTAGAAGAGTCTTAACCATATTAATTCCATTTTTCCTCCCTTTGCTCCCAACTACCCCCCAAATGGATGTTACACTTGCACCATTCTTGAATAACCAATTAATGAAGTGCTCATCTTCATCATGTAATCAATCAAAATCGAAAGTCAAGCTTTGAATTAGTTGGGTTCTACTAGTATGACAAAATAGCTCATCCTACAAAGTACAAAATGCTTCCGATTCAGGCAGTTCATGAGAAAATTTATGTAATTGAATAGGAAAGGCAGTAATTACTAATAACTAACCTCCTTATCTATCCAGTGCATTCGAGGAACAAATCCCACCATTGTGAATGGTGCACTTTGCCAGACAGAAAAGGCAAAATCTAGAGTAGAGCATGGAACAATCACATCATCATCAACTGAGAATATCGCATCTGTTCTGATGTCCTTTACTGGCTTAAACCTGCTATTTGATGTATCATCTGCACTGATGTCAAATCTAAAGTTGGGTTTGTGAGCTTTCTGAGACTTAGAGACCACAATCTTATTCAGATATTTTTTCAGCATTTCAGATGGTAGTTCACTTTCACTCCACACCACATGTATTGCATCAGCGCTATGACAGGATGCGTAATGAGCAACAGTTTGTTTCAGAAGAGATTTTTGCCTCCAAGTATTTATAAGCACAGTATAGCCACCCCTGAATTACAGATTAAATCAGTTGTATCAGCAGATCAAGCTCATAGCCTCAAACTAGAAAAAACAAAAAAAAAAATCCTACAATTAAAATCCTACGAAGAGCAAAAGTCGCATTGTACATCGTTACATGCAAGAAAAAACCACAACAATAAACACCACTCTTCCCCAAAATCAATTACAAATTACAAGGTATTAAGGAATATACCATCCTGAATATCCTTAGATAAGAATCCAAAAGTCCCGAGATTGCACATATGATGCTGAGTTAAACAACCTAACACATCAAAATGTATCTTTTGTTTTGAGAAATTCTCGAAACGATGCCATGAAGAGTCCTGATCCACCTACATGATCAAAATTTCCTCGTGCAACCATGTAAATCTCTCTGGAAGTTCCATATTATAGAAAATTTCCAATTTCATTATGCACAGAATTTTCAACGTTTATGCTCAAACTAGTTCAAACAAACATCATCACTTTTCAAAAAAAAAAAAAGGTTTATAATGGAATTTCATCGAAAAAGAAAACAAAATATTTTAAAAAATTGCAAAATTAAGTAACGAGAAAATTCATGTTAAACCTCGTTTGTGCAAATCCACAAAAAAACAAAATCATCGACTAAACAGATCCATAACACAAAACAAGAAGAACAGATAAAATTGCGAGAAAAAACAGATCCATTATTACTATTTTTTGTTTACCTTGAAATAGAAGAAACGGAAGAGGAGTGGTGAGGGTTCCAACCCATCCATGAATTGAGTCTGGAAGTGACCAAAACGATGACTGATAAGGCGAAGAACGCTAAGAAGAGCTTGAATTTAGCGGCGCCGAGAAACTGTTTGGCTCGGCGAAGGAAGAGAAGAGAGCGGTTATTGTAGGCGCTTCGGTTGGCTGCTTTCTGCTTCGCCGGAGAATAGAAACCGTCGCCTGCATCGGCGACGGCGGCGTCTCGAATTTGAATAAGTGTGGACATGGCTCAATGTACATTCGGTATCGGATCCGAATGGATCGCGATGACGATGATGATGTTCCTTTGCGTCGCCATGTTTGCCCGTGTGGAGCGCTTCAAAGCGAAGCGATACACTACACAGTTCTTCAAAACGACATCTTTTGTGGGACATAGAACGGTAAACGACACAAGAATCTCAAAACAGAATAAAAAAATTGCGGTTAAATATAAAAGTAAGATAAGAACATGAATATGAAAATAAATAATTTTTTTATAAATTAAAAAATAATATATTTTTAAATTTAAAATTTTTTAAGTAAAAGCTATTTTAAACAAAATAGAGAAATATAAATTAATTTTAATTTACAAATAAAGTTTAACTTATTTTATTATTTAATTTTATTTGTATAAATATTTATTTAGTGTTAAATTAAATATACTTTTATTTTTTATCTTAACAATAATTATAGATAAAACTATTTTTTCAAAAATATAGTATTAGAAAAAACTTATAACAACCAAAATAAAAAAAAGTTGAGTTACACAGATAATATATATAATCCAATATATTTATGATCTTTATATTTTAACACAATTTTTATTTTATTTTTCTAATTTTTTTATTACAGTCTGTACATTTTCATAATTTTTTATTTTATTAACGGACATTAAAAATTATAAAATAACAAAGAAAATGTAGAGAAAACAAATTGGTAAAATATAATGATGTAACCAACAATTTTCTGCGATAGCAAACCATAAAATTTTAATATATTGGAAACTCAAAAGAAAATAGCAATCCTTGTAACCTTTTAATAATTTTTTTAATTACTTTTACAAAAACCGACAGGGAAAAACAATCTTTTGGGTGTTTGACCAAATGCCTTTATGTACGATCGTATTATTATTATTATTATTATTATTATTATTATTATTATTATTATTATATTTGTAAAATTCCATTTATTTTAGAGTTAAAGAAAAAAACTTTCTTATATTGTGATTTATGTAAACTCTAATTAAACATGTCATTACTAGAATTAGCGAAACTAGCTACTTAGTCCATTCAAATTAGTCTATTACCACCAGTAGAATTTAGCAAATTGGGTTAAAAAATTTAGATATAATTTGATTTCATAAAAATGATGTTTAAACTTGCTAACGTCTAGTTTTTTTTCATTTTTTTTACAGATTTTACAGGCTTAATCTACGTTGAGTTTAATTGGATTAAACTAAATACTTCAAATTTAATTTTAATTCCAAGTTTAAAATTTAAATCTTACATTTTATCAAGAAAGTTCAAATTAATTCAGTTAAACATATTTATTTTACTGGCTCCAATAATTATTATGTGGGTGTCTTTCTCTTGCTATTAAAATGAAGGATAGATCAAACAACACAAAATAATTGTTTTATATTTAATTTTAAAATAGTAATAAAATGAAACAAATCAAGAGATGAAATAAGAAAAAGCCTTAAAATTTATCATCCGTTAATTTTTTTTTCATTCAGGCACAAGAATATCTTAAGAGAATATATTTTTATGATTACAGATCAATAAATAGTAAAAAAGTATTAAAAGTTATGTTAGAATACATAAAAAATATGTAAGAGAATATATTTTTATGATTTTCTTAAAATATATTTTTTAATTAGTACCCTTAAAATACTTATTAGAAAATTTAAAAAAAGAAACACCCCTTCCATTGTAACAATAAACTTCTTGCCACAAGCTCAAATATTAAAAGGTAAGGAATAATAGGAGCATCATAGTGTGTAGCTACAAATTTGTAGCCTTTTGCACCAACCTTCCTAAACCATTAACACAAGCCAAATAAAGTCAAAGTTACAATTAAGATGGTTACATGGAGAAGACAACCCCATGAATCTTAAGAAAATAACTTAATAGATGCTATAAATCAAGATTAAAATGGACATATATAAGCAAAGGGTCATTGGGATCATTTTTGTATTTAATTTGAATTTGCCTTTTTTTTTGTGGTGCTATTGGCAGAGGGAATTGAAAATTAGCTCTTCTCATATATTGCTGGCTACACTTTTTCTTTAGGATGGGGTATGACAATTGAAATATCGTATAGATCTATTCAATCATAACCACTAAAAGTTGTCATTTTCTTTTTTCATTTTCATTCAATGAATTCCCAATATTTATGAATTATAGTTGTCTATGATTGATGCATTCAAATTAAAACATTCACTATACTCCATAACCATCTGATTATTCCTTAAAAGAGCAAGCCCCTCATAACTATCTCATTACATAATAAGTATGCCAACATAATACAAGTTCCTAATCATCAAATTGGTCCCTATACATTTCCTACATTTTGATCCTCCTTTGCCTTTGTAAAAAATTTAACATATTTTCCTCCCTTCATTGCTATTCTAGGTGATGAACACCATCGTCAACAACCTTGTGATAGGTTAGGAAATGAGTATCATAATCTTTTCATCAATTATTAAATTAATTAATACTTCATAATCAATTTCATCCTATATGATATTATATTATTTTAAAAATACAAGTAAATGTGAACGATAAAATAACATCTCCATGGGTGTTTGTTTTAAGAGTAAGAATTAAGATTTCGTTTGTTCTAAAAATTTTATGAAAATATCTTTTAATTTGAAAAAAAATACATTTAAAATTTTCAGTGCGTTGCTTAATATTTTGAAAAATTATAATTTTAACTATATTTTAAAAATAACGATTATTTTTATAGTTATAATAAAAAATAAACTTTTCTTTTAACCAATATATAATTACTTGTTTTAAGCTTATACGCACTGCACTAAATTACTCTAATAGTTGTGGGATAGCATCCACAAATCATGCACCTACTTTGAAGAAAAGAAAATTGAAAAATGGCTTTATAGTGTCAAACTTAGAGAAGTGTAGGCAGAAAAACTGTCTTCTCCTGCTGGAGAATTCTCATATATATACTGTTTAATACAAGCTGATTTTCAGTCCAATAATTAGCTAAACGACTATATTTACATTTATCTTACAACTTAATTAAGTAGAGAATAATAGTTACAATCCTAATTAAGAAAAGAATAACAGTTACAGCTGTACAATACAATTGCATATTAAATGTCCAGCTGTGAATTTGCTGGTTTTAATGACCAGAAAATTTGCTCATCAATTTCATTGACATCCCTCCTCAAATTGATGTTGGTAAGTCTACAAGCATCAATTTGCCAACAAGAAGATTGTGCCGCTGACATGTCAAAGTTTTAGTGAAAATGTCAGCAATCTGCACAGATGTTGAGACATGAGGTAGAGTGATAATTTTGCGATCATAGGCTTCTCGGATAGAATGACAATCAACCTCAATGTGCTTCGTGCGTTCATGATAAACTGGATTTGCTGCAATTTGTATGGCACTGGTGTTGTTAGCATGCAGCGGAGTTGGTTGGGCTTGAGAGAATCCAAGCTCTGTAAGGAATCACGTAACCAAATTATTTCAGAGCATGCAGTAGACATTGCACGATATTTTGCTTCAGTGGATGACTTGAAAACTGAATCTTGTTTCTTGCATTTCCGTGAAATTAGAGCATTACCCAAAAACATACACCAGCCAGTAGTTGATTTCCTTGTGTCTGGACAGCCAGCCCAGTCAGCATCACTATATGCTTGGAGTTGGAGAGATGAATCAGCAGGAAAAAATAGACCACGTTTGGAGGTGCCAAGGAGGTATTGTATGATGCGGTGTACTGCTGAAAGATGGAAATGTCAAGGAGATTGCATGAATTTACTCACTGTGTGGACAACAAAAGAAATATCCGGACGAGTGATGGTCACATAGATAAGACTACCAACTAGTTTGCGATATAAAGTGGAATATGTGAGAAGTTCACCTTCATCTCTGCTATATTTCACATTAACTTCCATCGGGGTGTCAACGGAGGTTGCATTGGTGAGGCCAGCTAACTGAACCAGATCCTGAATATACTTTTGCTGATTTAAAAATATCCCTTTAGGTTGATGATGTACTTCTAACCCCAAAAAGTAAGTGAGGTGGCCAAGCTCCTTCATATGAAAAGTTGAATGCATCAAGTGTTTAATTTTAGAAATAGCGGCTTGATCAGAACCGGTCACGACAATGTCATCCACATAAACAATAAGCACTAAAATGCCGTTAGAAGTCCTCTGTAGAAAAAGAGACGAATCATATTGGCTTTGTGTGAAGGAAAAGCCAAGTAATGTGGATCGAAATTTTTCAAACCATACTCTAGGTGCCTGTTTCAAGCCATATAAAGAGCGTTTTAGTTTGTAAACAACATTAGGTGAATGTGTGGACATACCATTAGGAAGTTTAATGTAAACTTTCTCCTTGAGGTCCCCGTGGAGAAATGCATTTTTGACATCCATTTGATGTAATGGCCAAGATTGTGATGCAACAAGGGCAAGTATGGTTCGCACAGTAGTCATCTTGGCAACTGAGGCAAAAGTCTCATCATAGTCAAGTCCATATTCTTGCTTATTTCCTAACACAATTAAACAAGCTTTGTAACGGTCTATGGACCCATCCGAACGAAACTTTATTGTGAACACAAATTTGCTGTCGAGAGGTTTAACAGATGGGGGACATGGCACAACATCCCATGTTTGATTTTGTTCTAGTGCTAGGAGTTCTATCTCAATAGCTTGCTGCCAACACTCATGCTCCATTGCTTGTTTATAAGAAGAAGGAATAGGGACTGATGATAATGTTGCTGTCAAGGATAAGGGAGAGGTAAAACCATACTTTTCTAGGGGGTTACAAGTGCGGGAACTTCGTCGTAGGGGAACTGGTTGTAGCCCTTGTACCGGATCAGCAGCCAAGGAATAATCTTGAGGGGGCCCAGGAGGATCTGGTGGCTGATTTTGAGTGGTATGACTTCGTCTGTGGTAGGTTAAGAGAGGTCTAGATGAAGGCTGTCCTGCAGAAGAGGTAGAAAACAATGGCAAAATAGAAATTTGGGAAGGGAGAGGATCATGATAAGTTACAAAAAAATATTTATTTTCCTGAAAGATGACATTTCTAGATACTCGAATCCGACGAAGGTTAGGATCATAACAGAGAAAACCTTTTTGGTGAGGAGAATATCCAAGAAAAGCACATGCAATAGATTGTGCAGTGAGTTTAGTGCGTTCTTGTGAAGGAAGATGGACATAACACACACAACCAAAGGTTCGAAAAGAAGAATAATTGGGTGGGTGACCAAATAACCGGATGAAAGGAGAATCATTATTTAATGATGTAGATGGCAAGTGGTTTATAAGGTGAACAACAGTGGAGAGAGCTTAACACCAAAACCGAGGTGGCACACATCAAGCAAGTGGCGGTTTTTTCTTTCGGCTATCCCATTTTGCTGGGGGGTTGAGGGGCATGTCCTTTGAGATATAACACCATTAGTTTGCAAGAAGTTCTGAAAAGAATGAGAAATGTACTCCCCTCCATTGTCAGAACGAAGAATTTTAATTTTAGAGGAAAATTGGGTCTGAACATAAGCATGAAAAAGTTTGAAAGCAGACAATACTTCATCTTTAGGCGCAAGAAATAGAGCCACGTAAAACGACTATAATCGTCAATAAAAGTGACAAAATATTTATAACTTGCATGAGAAATAATTGGTGCCACCCCCCATACATCACTGTGAATCATATCAAAAGGTTTGTCTATGTTTGATTGATGTGTTGGAAAAGGAAGAATTTTACTTTTGCCAAGTTTACAAGAAAGGCAATCAAATTGAACAACATGAAGAGGTGAGGACTGTTTATTTCCAAGAAAACCAGTTTTTAACATGTGATGCAGTACATTAGAGTTTGGATATCCAAGACGCTTATGCCATATCTGATAGTCAACAGTAGCAGAATTACAAGAAACAAAAGGTAAAGAAAGATTTGGAGACAAAGGGAAATGAAGTGGAAAAAGGCGTCCAATTTTAGGCCCCGTCGCGATTGTCTTCCTTGATTGTTGATCCTGCACAAGACAACCAAATTTTGAGAATTCTACAAGACAACCATTGTCAACTAATTGACCAACAGAAATGAAGTTATTAGTCAGACCAGGAGAGACAAAAACATCGGTTAGAGATAAAGAAATATCACCAGTTGCTGTGATAGGTAAATGATTTCCATCAGCAGTATGAATCTTGAGATTTCCAGAATATTTGGTGATATTAGTAAGAAACTGAGCATTGTTGGTCATATGGTTGGAAGCCCCAGAATCAAAGTACCAAGGTGAAGATGTAGAAAAAGGTTTACCTGAAAGTCCCAAGGCAAAGAATGTAGAAATGATCATTTATTGAACCATTTCAGGAGTCAATGTTGGAACCGGAGCAGGAGCAGGATGTTGGACAGAGGCTGTATTCGTAGAACTACTAGAAGTAGAGGAACCAGCCAATGCTGTAAAAGCTGTTGTAGATCGCTTTGGTGGTCTTGTTGGGCATTCTTTAATAATATAGCCATCCTTTTTGCGATAACTACATAATTTTTGTGGACAGTTTGAAGCATAATGTCCAAATCCTTTGCAATAGTAGCATTGAATAACACTCATGTCACGGCCTTTTGGTTTTCCTTGTGCTGCGTAAGCCACTGGGACAGTAAAGAAGCTTTGTTGGTCAATGGTCGATTGTGTGAGAAAACGCTGTTCTTCACGAAGCAGTTCATTGAGGCATGTATCTAGTGAGGGTACAGGGTCTCTATTCATGAGATTAGATCGGACACCTTCAAAATCAGATCTCAATTTCATAAGAAATTGATTTCGTTTAGTAGTGTCATGAATTGATTGCACTGAAGTAAGACCATCAGAAGTCAAATTTTCATAAACTATGTCAATGTAATCTGCCCAAAGATTGATGAAATGAGAGTAAAATTCAGAAATGGAGAAACTATCCTGTTGAGAGATGGCGATATCATGTTGAAGCTGAAATTTGCGTGCAGTGTTATTCTGACTATAGATTTTCTTTAAATAGGCCCACATTTCTGCTGCAGTCTTGAAAGGTCGTAAATTCTGGATAATGTTTGGATCCACAGAACCTATGAGCCACGCCATGACTTGAGCATCCTTGACCTCCCATTTGCGATGTTCATCCTTCTATTAGTCTTTGTTAGGAGCAGGAGTGCTACCATCAACATGACCCCAAAGATCTCTTCCTTCGACAAATATCTGGAATTGGAATGCCCAGGCTGAGTAGTTCTTGCCATTTAGGCAGACCAATAATACGTCATACTTTTCAATAGACATGATGCTAAAGAAAATGAAATGGTAACTAAGGACCAAATCTGGACTAGGATAGAATTGAGAAAAAAAACAAGGACCGTAAAAGCTTGGACTAAGACAATGATCGAAAAAACTGGGACAGGGCTAGGGTAGGATCGTAAGCCAGACTGATACCATGTCAAACTTAGAGAAGTGTAGGCAGAAAAACTGTCTTCTCCTGCTGGAGAATTCTCATATATATACTGTTTAATACAAGCTGATTTTCAGCCCAATAATTAGCTATACGGCTATATTTACATTTATCCTACAACTTAATTAAGGAGAGAATAGCAGTTACAATCCTAATTAAGAAAAGAATAACAGTTATAGCTGTACAATACAATTGCATATTAAATGTCCAGCTGTGAATTTGCGTGTTTTTATGACCAAAAAAATTGCTCATCAATTCCATTGACATATAGGCCCTGAGCCTGCAGATGAACTGTTTAATGCATTATATGAAAAACTGAACCAATACGTACTACTAATGAATAGAGTGTCTAACTTTGTACAAGTACTTTGGATCACAGATTTTTTTAGGCCAGCAATTATGCATTTGACATGCACATGCAATGAGTTTGTGTTCTACTCAAAATAAATTCACATGCACCGAGAGAGGTGAAGAATCAAAGAAATAGCTGGCAAAGAACTGTGGAGCTCTCTACTAAGTAAATGCTTCTATTCATCCTTCTGTTATTCAATTAAATTGACAGTTCTAAATGGTCAAAAGGGTCTGTCAATACTCAAGAGTCTTTCAGCTATCATAAATGATGAGTGATACTCACTTCATAAGGAAAATTATTTTGTTAGAGCTTATAACTCATAAGTTGTTTTCAGTTTATTGATTCTTAGTATAATTAACGTATAAAAATAAACTGTTTTCAATTTATTTTATTAAGTTTTATTGTTAAATTTATAACATAAGTCATTGTTTTAAAAAGAATTTATTAAATAAGTATTTAAATAAGCAGTTGCACAAACACAAACCTTTAGTAGGGTCACAGGGTATATGCGAGTGAAATTCTCACTCTTGGCATCCTAGTTTTATTATTAGATTTATTCTTTACTTGATCTGAAAATTAAATACTTTCAGCATAAACAAAATATTGGATGTGCATACTACATATTGTCTTCCAATTGTTTAATTCCTTATGCTAAAAAAATAGATACTAAATAAGATTAAGATCAGGAAAGCATGAACATGTAATATATAACAGTAGGGGAACAAAACAGAGCTAATGTAACCACAATATTTGAGAATTAGCAATAAGTTCCATTTAGTGGCAATTTTAAGCATTCTGCAACTTTGAATCTGCGTAAGAAATATGTGAATGATGTTGGTTGAGTTCAAGGTGGAGGAAGAGACACTTAGGAATAGGATTGAGTACTAAAAACTTTTCTTGTAATACAGAAGGGAATACTTCTAGTTCCTAGTACAAAAGATTTTCTTATTGCAACAAAGAAATACTACTGAAGTTGTTAAGTAAATCCCACTGAAATTCATATTGGTGGTGGCAACCATGTTATCACAATTGGGCTTCTCACAATGTGCACGCCATCCTTCCAAACCAGACCTCCAAATTCAGGTGATTTTTGCCTTGTCTTTGGTGTGAAGGTAATCTTGTAAGATAGCTTCTGGTGTTTTGTGGTGAAATTCAAGGTTTCTGGCTCAACTTTGACAGAAGCTCCTTTGAATGTTGAGACAGTAACAAGGTATTTGGAAACAGCAGGGCCAACATTGGTGACAGTTCTGTGAACAATCACAGGACTGAAAAGTGAATTGGGACTTCTCTTATTAAACAAAAGTGATATAGCTGGGTAGTTCAAGTCCCCTGGAGTGGCAAGAGAGTGCCTACAAGTTCTGTTTGAATATTTGGCAAAAACTCCTAATTGTGTTGGAGTCAGCTTCTGTGTGCATAAGAATTCAAAGTAATCTTGTGGCTCAATCTCATAGACTAAACCTGGGTCCAGAGCTTTAACAGGGTCAATGTGTCCAGCACCGTGATCGTAAGCACTTGAAGGTTTAGCAGTTGAGGCATCTCTGAGAGTTTTCTTGGTGTTATCATGAACATATGCTGTTGTCATCAATGCAGATTTAATAGCAGCTGGACTCCACTCAGGGTGCTTAGCCTTGAGTAATGCTGCTACACCGCTCACATGTGGGCATGACATTGATGTGCCAGAGAGAATATTGAACTTCACTCTCCTGTTGTCTACTTTCAAACCTGATGGACCAACGGCCTCACTCCAAGCAGCAAGAATGTTCACTCCAGGAGCCACTAAATCAGGCTTCAGAATTTCAAGTGTGAGAAAATTAGGCCCTCTTGATGAAAATGCTGCTACTACAGGAGATGGTTTAATTCCCAACCTTGTGCCCATAAAAGATAGAGTTGCAGTGGCATTTTTGCTTGTTAAGACATAATTTTTGAGCTCCTTTCCTTCATTCTCTCCTATTGCAACAGCTGGAAGGAGATGACAATCAGCAACAAGTTCTTCTCCATTTGCTTCAGTATTTGTAAGAATCATTCCCACCCCTCCTGCACTTTGCACCACATGACCCTTTTGCACTCTAGGACTAAGTCCTCTATCACAAATTACTATCTTTCCTGAAACCACTTTAGGATCCAAAGTCCCTTCCAAGCACATAGATCTTGGATCAATTCTGCTAGATTTACTACCCAAGTATACCAAAGGGTATTGTTTGTTAACTGATAGCGTACTTTTCCCTTTATAGAGTGAAACTCCTGTCATAGTTTTACCATTCCCTTGCTTAACATCTGTAGGAAAATCTCTATCCATTGTGCTAGCTCCAACTGTGGTGATCCAAGGTGACACATTGGTGAGGCTAACAGGGTCAGGTCCAGCATTTCCAGCTGAACATGAAACAAAAACACCCCTCTCCACTGCTCCAAATGCAGCTACAGATAAACTATCACGGTAGTAAGAGGAGACTCCACCACCTAAAGAAATGGACAAAACATTCACTCCATCAGCTATAGCTTTATCAATAGCTGACACAATATCTGAACTGAAACACCCTCCAACCCAACATACTTTGTAAGCTGCAATCCTTGCTCCCGGTGCCATTCCTCTTGCTGTGCCATTAGCATAGCCCATAAGGTTAGCACCAAGCACTGGAGAGCCAGCAACTGTGGCTGCAGTGTGAGTGCCATGACCATCTTGATCCCTTGGTGATTTATATTCTTTTTGCTCGTTGATTTTACCCAGTGCTGCTTCATATCCATGGTAGAACACTCTTGCCCCCACAATCTTTTTATTGCAGTGACTTTTTCTGAAGCCTGTTCCAACCTCACAGGCACCTTTCCAATGAGTAGGTACTGGTCTCATTCCTACATCATTGAAGCTTTCACTCTCTGGCCAAATCCCAGTGTCCAACACTCCCACAATGACATCATGGCCAGCTATATTTTCTGACCAAATGTTAGTGCTTTGTGCTGGTTCAAGCCCAAGAAAAGTTGGACTTCTTGTGGTGTGTAGTTCATACTTTGTTTCCGGGAATATAGCTACAACACCTTCTTCAGCCTCTAGCTTCTCAGCTTCTTCTTCCGTCATCTTGGCTGCAAATCCATGAAAAGCATTTTGGTAATTGTAGATTATTCTCTCTTCATTGTCCATATCAGCTTCTAGAGACTTGGACAGTGCTGACTTCACCTTTGATGAATACCATTCAAGGTGATTGGAGAAGGTTTTTGGCATTGCTGATTTATCCATTTGAATGAGGTAAGTCTTCTTAGCAAACTGTGCATTTGCAAAGAACAACAATGTGCTGAATAGCATATAGCTTGTTAGAATGCAACCCATATTTCCCATTGGGGTCTTGGCCATGTTTCCACCCAAGAAGGAGAAAACTAAGAGTGTTTGAAGAAAGGTGTTGAGTTAAAAGTGAAGATATGTGAAGAGATTTTAAAAGGGGGTTTGTGCTTCATTAATTTTTCTGTCTTCTTGAGGTTGAAGTATTAAATAGAGTGAAGAAAGAGTGATCTTTTCTGTGCCATGGCAATAAAGGTTGGTGGTTGTTTTGTGGATGACGAGTTTGAATGAAGAGTTATAAAAGAGCCACCTAGTGGCTAGTACTAGATGTTAATATGATTAAGGTCTTCTGACATCTGAGCAACACTTTTTCTTGGTTGATGTGGTTTGCAGTTTGCACATTGTGCTTTGCATAATTTGTGCTAGCTAGTTAGTGACACAATTCTTGTAGTCATGATTATAAAATTGTAATAATAATGGTAGTTGTGTATGGTGAAATCAGTTGAATTTGTATGATATACGTTAATAATCAAATAGAAAACTTTTTCAAACTTCTCTTTTAATATAACAATGACATAATGCTGTTTGATGTAGGATGCACTTACAAAACTTGTTTGAAAATTAATATTAGACATGAGGGATAAAGTTATACATTACGTTTTCTGTAAGAGCAAGATGTGGAGAAATATTTACAAACAGGGGAAGAAAGAAAACCAAAGAATTGCAATAATTTGAAACGTGACAAATTTAAAATAATGGGTATCTATAAACTTATCCTATGAAGGTTTATCGGTATTCAAAAGAAAATTTGCAACTAATATGTATGATCTCTAGTGTACTCAAGTAGCAGGTGAAGTAACTGAATTGAATTCTTGCACTTTCACTTGGCTGGCCCTCTAATGTTGGCACTCAGTATCTCCCGTGTTAAGTGGGTTTATCTCGTCAGTTGATCCTGCATAGATCAAACTAATGAAACTACATGTATATACCATATTTTATTCTTATAAAATAATGTATTATTTTGCAGAATTAGATTTCTTTTATTGATTCGCATCAATTTCTTATTCAGTTACAGGAATTGAATTGAATCAATATTAAATTAAAATTATTATTAAATTAACAACTTATATATTTTTTATGCTTTCTCTTTTTTAATTTTACCTAACATCAGGCAATAGTTTAGAAAAAAAATATCAATATTACATGATCATTGGATATTAATAGATTTAGTATAAGTAGTTAGAAACTATAAAAAAAACTGTAATTAAAAATAAATTAATAGAAAATATAAAAAAGTGTAAAGATAAAACTATAAACTTTATATTATTTTTTATTGTTAGAGATTGCACTATCTTAATTTTTTGTTAATTAATTTTAAATTTAAATTTTTATTTTATTTTATTTTGCATTGTTTAAATTCAAAAATTAAATTAAAATTCTTAGTAATTAGAAACAATGTAAAATGATATTTTAAAAATTTATTTTAGAACTCGTTATTACTTTTTGACAAATACACTTATGTAAAAAGTCAAATACTTATCACTAGCTTATTTATCACTTAAATTAAATATCATTAGTTTGCTATTTTTTTTTCAAATTTGTCTTTTTTGCATTCTTTTTTTTTTTAGATGTGTTATATTTGTTCTTTGTTCAATTATTTTTTCACTCTAAACTAAGAACAATATCTTAATGAAGGTAAAAAAGAAAATTAACAGTAAAATGGCATAAAATGACATAATTTTTTTAAAATCTTATTTCAATATATTTTTTTAAAATCTTATTTTTAACTTATTCTAATTAATTTTATTATAAAAGTTATGATCTAACTTATCATATTAAAAAATTATTAAATAAACACTTAATTAAGTTTTGCATCTAAATACATCTTTAAACTATTTTTTTTTTTTATAAATGACTAAAACTATAAAAATTAAAATCATATTTCATTCTATTGTCTGATCAATTAAGTACTGGCACAAATTTATAAGAAATAAAGTTAAGGTTAAAATTTTAATTAGCATTATAAAATCATATTATTTGGCCTAAGTAATAAAAAAAATATTTATATATATATATATAGACACAGACACTTCAATACACACTGAATATAGTACTCAAAGCATCATCTGTCTCCAAGCTCATTGTTTAGAGTTCAATACTGGTGGTGGTAGTTTGGAATTCTTTTAAAACCTTGCTTAAACCTGTATATATAGATCATACTTCATAAACGTATTCCTCATTCTTTACAAACGTATTACAATTAGAATATATTACACGCAACAAATTAATAATGTGTGGACACAACTTCAAACATCATTGAATATTACTCCCCATTCTTATGTAGTGTGTTGTAAAACTTGAATAAGTTTTGTGTTAGGATTCGCTGCTTTTTGGAATAAAATTGTTTACGATTAATGTCATTAAGTTTTGTTGAATTTCTACTGCAATAGTTTTAAAATACTGATCTATATTTATGAAATTATAATTCATTATTATTATTATTATTATTATTATTATTATTATTATTATTTATCTCTTGTTACTTGTTAGGTTATTTTGTGTTGTAACAATCTAATTCATTAACAAGTGCACCAAATCTTCCATGTAATATAAAGAGGAAGGGTTATTATACAGAGAATATGGACACTTAAGTAATTTCAATTATATAATTTAAAATTAACAAACTCCTAAATATTTAAGAATGTACAACTAAGTCAAATTTTAAGCTTTTGATAGTTTGATTTATAGAAAATAAATGTCACATTACTAGCAAGAGTTATATAACATACAATATATTAAAATTTATTCTTAGAGACTTAACCTATTGTGTGAGTTTACCCCAATTGGGTTTCAAGTTATTTGTCACACTCAATTTGAATTCATGGATCATGAATTATTTCCCATAAGCTAAAAACAAACATTACAATCAAAATAAATATACCCAACTCATGGCAAATGAATAAAGATATATTAAAAATACCAAAACATTCAAAGTATAAAGATTATATCTAATTCTTAGAAAATTCTAATTGTTCGTGGCATACATTACAATAAAAAAATGTAAGAAAAAATAGAAATTAGTTCTTCCAATGGTTTTTAGTCACTTTCCCAAGCTCTTGCAATGCTTTGCAATGCCAAATGTGTTGAGGCTCCAAAGCCCTTTCTAGCTCTCCCTTTTCGAAATGAATTTTCTATTTTTTATAAGACAATAAGTGAATTCTTTCTAGAAAATGACACGAGACTTTCGGTCTTCTCGCTCAAATTTTTGCTCAGGCAAGAATTGTCTCACCTGAACGAGGGCCATTTTCGCTCAAGTAAAAATATTAATAAAAAATTTGGTCTCAATTTTGTATTTCTTGCTTAAAGTAGAAAATTCTCGCTTAAACAAGACTTAAAAATTTGGCAACTTCAACAAATATGTCTCATCTTTAAAAAATCATAAAAAATAGAAAATAATTCTAAATTCATAAAATTATATATGCATTTTGAAGTCCTAAATGTGTAGAATTCAATGCAACTAAAATCAATTAAAAATAATATCTATAGAAAATGTTATGACAAAAAGAATAGACAAATGTCAGATTAACTAAAAATATGAAATTAAAATATTAAATGCAAAATAAACCTAAAACATTTTTATTAATAAAAAATGATAAAAACTCTCAAAATGAAGCATATAAAGAGTGTTTTGAAGATACAATAAAATTATAAATGTGAAAACTTATAAAGTCTTTACCCTTAAGAAAATTCACATAAGAAAAGAAAATTAAATATCTTATATTATTTAACAAAATTAGAGTTAAAATTGTTAAATTTAAATAACATGAATTTAAATGCATTAAAATATAAATTATAAAAAAAATTAAATAAGGAACAAAATATATACTTAAAACTACTAAAATTGACACCAATCATTACTCTTATGTTATTTAAAATCTTTAAATATTTAATAATTTTATGTAAGATTATTTTTTTTGAAAAAAATAGGAGTTTGTACGATGTGCCGAAAACTTACAATAAGAAAATTTCACTTACGGGTAGCGTATTTATAATAAACATAAATTTTGGCTACGAAATTGTGTAACCAACTAAAACAACAGGAAGGTTACGTACTATACTTTTCAATTATATTATCTTACCAGCTGATGTAAGATAATGGCAGATCACAAAATATTTAAGTATTACAATGCTAATGACTTTGCTTTTGCTTTTGCTTTTTAATGTAAAAGTAAAAACAAAGTGAAACTCTCGTCAAGACACCAGGAAAAGAATCAAATCACAATAAGTCAAATACATGGTTCTATTTCTATTTAAATAAAAAAAAATCCCACAAAAAACGCACTGCATGTTGACCAAGCTTCCAATGTCCTTGTCCATTTCTCCCACTATAAATACACAACCTCTAAACTCAACTATTTCACATCCACTCAAACCAAGGGTACATTAGCTACTACACTACTCTTCTCTTATTGCTTCACAAACAAAATGGTTTTCCAAACTTCATCTCTAGAGTTTACAGTGAGGAGGCACCCACCAGAGCTAGTAGCCCCAGCTAAACCTATTCCCCATGAAGTTAAGCTTCTATCTGACATAGATGACCAAAATGGCCTTCGTTACCAACTTCCATTGGTACAGTTCTATCCTTACCAACCTCTAATGAAAGGGAAAGATCCTGTTCAAGTTATTAGAGAAGCCCTTGCCAAAACACTTGTGTTTTATTATCCATTAGCTGGGAGGCTTAGGGAAGGTCCTAATGGTAAACTAATGGTGGATTGTAATGGAGAAGGTGTCATGTTCATTGAGGCTGATGCAGGTGTGACACTTGAACAGTTTGGTAACAATTTTATGCCACCGTTCCCTTGCTTCGATGAGCTTCTTTACAATGTTCCTGGCTCAGATGGAATGATTGACACTCCACTCCTGCTCTTACAGGTTATATTAATTATACTTATCTTTTTTATACATTTATATATATTCTCACGAGTTTTATTTTGTATCATATCATTAATATTGATGCTCTTGAGAACGCTTTTTTAAAGAAATTATAATTACTATTTATGTTTTGAAAAGTTTTCTCAAAAAGTTTTTATTATTGTTTTGAAACATGCAATAAATAATCAATTGTTTTTCTAACGTGTCTCTAAATATTCACATTAAAAAAAATTAAATAATAATTTTTTATTAAAAACTTATTATTTAGTATTAAGAGTGTTCCCAATTTGAGTATAGCCAATCTATTCAATCAACTTAATTCAAACCAAAATAAATTTAATGATTAGGTATAACTGGATTATAAGTGATAAATTTGATATTTTTAGATTTGATATCAAGTTTTCCTTTTTGCAATATAATGAATCCAGCTCAACCTAACATTGTGCGTGTATATATATATATAATGTTTGTATTTTATTTTATTTTTGTATATTTTAAAATGTGATTTTTGATAAATTATTTATTATTTGAGTATAAATGAGATGTTTTATATAAATATAGATAATTTTTTAAATTTGATTTGATAATTGTTTAATTTTTCGTTTATAATTTTTTTAAATTTTGTGAGTATAGATGATTACCTATTCGAATTAAGCCGTTCATGATTAGTTTATATTGGTTTGAGTTTTACGTCAAAGAGTGAAAAATCTCATCCAACTCAATATGTTATATTTTAATGGGGTCAGATAATTTTTTTATTATCCAATTTGACCCAATTCATGAACACATCTATTGAATACCATTAATACATTGAATTTTCTGATATTTTATTATTTTTAATAAATAATTATCATACATAGATTTTTATTGTGTATTCTTAATCATATGTTAGAAAAATTGAATAATAAAAAATGAGTAAAATAAACTTTTCCATGAAAATAGGTAAATTAACTTTTCAAGGAAATGTTCATAGAGCTTTGTCCACTATCACTGTCAAACAAATGAAATAGGAAATAATAAATAAATAAGCCATCAAAGTGTGTTAATCAGTCACGATAACATTCCAATACATGCTTAAACGTAGGCTACATAAATATATAAATTAATTACAGGTGACGCGCCTCAAGTGTGGTGGTTTCATCTTTGCTCTCCGCATGAACCATACCATGTGCGATGGAAGTGGAATTTGCCAATTCCTGAAGGCCTTAGCAGAAATAGCACGAGGTGCACCAAAACCTTCGATTCTCCCAGTGTGGCATAGGGAACTTCTGTGTGCAAGAAACCCACCAAGAATCACTTGCACTCATAATGAATACCAACAACTACCACCTGATTCGAGAAGCATCTTCACACCCCATCATCGTTCCTTCTTCTTTGGCCCAAAAGAGATAGGTTTAATGCGTTCTCTTCTCCCTCCACACCTTGCAACCAAATCAACCTCATTTGAAATCCTCACTGCATATCTGTGGCGTTGCCGCACATTTGCATTGCAGTGGCAAAACCCTGATCAAGAGGTTCGCTTGTTGTGCATTGTGAATGCACGTTTTGGAAGTTGCATGTTCGCCCCTCCTTTGCCTAATGGTTTTTATGGTAATGCTTTTGTGTTTCCTGCGGCAGTTACCACTGTAGGGAAACTCTTGGGTAGTCCATTAGGGTATGCATTGGAGCTAGTGAAGAAGGCAAAGGATGAAGCAAATGAAGAGTATGTGCACTCTGTGGTTGACCTAATGGCTATCAAAGGAAGACCTTGTTTTACTATGTTAGGCTCTTTCATGGTGTCAGATCTCTTAAAGAGTGGATTCACAGATTTTAACTTTGGGTGGGGTAAGGCTTTGTATTCTGGGGTAGCCAAAGGTGGTCTTGGGAACATTTCTGGGGTGAGCTTCTATGTTCCCTATACTAACTCCAAAGGGGAGAAAGGAAGAGTTGTTCCAATTTGCCTGCCACAAGATGCAATGGAGAGGTTTGAGAAAGAGTTGAATGACACACTGAAGATTAAGAATAACTATATGGTGTTAATGTCTAGTCTCTAAGGATAGTTGACAATCAAGCTGATGCTAATTAACTTGGTCTTTTTGTGATGGTCTATAAAATTTTGTGTCTTGTTACCGGTTTCGATTTTGCATGCTGTAGGAAAATATAAATAATGACATCTTCGTAAAGGTTGGCCCATGTTGTTTCAGATACTCTGTTTCTTTTCTTAATCAATTATCAGGTGAATATTCCGGATCTATGTTTAAAGGAAGAATGTTAACATCTTACTTTTGAGACAGTACGTTAAATTTAATCTTAATTTAAACATTTTCTTATTTTGGTTGTTATTTTGGGTAATTCAAAACAGATCAATTTGGATTCATCATTTTGTCATGCCAATGTCAAATCTTTTTTACGTAGCTAGTATAATGTAAAATCAAAATTACATGTTAATATAAATTTTAAATTATTTATATAATTAGTGTACGACTTGTATTTTTTTATAAATAAATTAGTAATTTATATATGCCATATATGATTTTTATATTTTAATTTTGAATAAATATATTTATATATTAAAATTTAATATAAAAATTGTAATTATATTTTTTATTAGTTTAACTTCATTCATATTTAATACAGTATTCTTATAATTTTTCTTCACTAAAACCATTAATAATATTTCTAACATTAGAAGTGACACTATCTAATAATACATTAAAAAGTTTTGCATATACGACTTACTTATTTACACTAAATTATACTAATTAAGTAAAACAAAAAAACTCTTATCGATCACACTTGTCATAGGAAGGTCAATGCATCGTATGAATTTCCATAAATTTTTGGATCAGAATCCTTGCAGTTAGTGCATCTTTCTATTTTTTAATACAAAATGTGAATGATTTCATGGAGCTTTTGATAAACAATGATTTGGTAGCTTCAAATTCATTTTCTCAATCCAAAATAGGGCCATTATAACAGGGATAGCAACTACACTCTTACTCTCGGGTTCCCAGCATTCTTCTGTGGCATAAAGTAAATTGCATAGTACATTAACAATGCAACGTTGAAAATGCCAATATTTTAATTGGTGACACTACATAGTTTACCTCAATTATACACATATCCCTATTTGTTGCTAAATTTTAAAAAGGAAACCTATATATTTAGCATTACTTTGTGCCAACAATGGTAGGTGAGTATTGTATTTGGTAACTCTAACAAAATTCCCAGACAACATGGCACTTGGTTTTAATTTCCTTGCACCTGGATTTTGAATTTGTCTGACGGTTTTTCCTTTTTCTTCTTTTTTCCGGCTAATTTATACTTGGGTTTATTTTTCATGCTATTTTGTTATTTTATATAGCTTTGTCAAATTCAAATCTGTTTGTATATCAAAACAACAGTAACTAGAGAATTTTTCAATAATTATTTGTTACAACTAGGATGGCTTCTTCTATATATATATATATATATATATATATATATATATATATATATTCCTGTGTAACAAGATACTCTTTCTTTCTCTGATTCTAATTCAAGAGAGTATTGAAGTGTACGTCTTTCTCATTAGTTAATTCACATTGCATAGGGTATAGAAGACCTTTATTAATTCACAGTACATTAAATTTAATCTTAATTTAAACATTTTCTTATTTTGATTGTTATTTTGGGTTGTTCAAAACAGATCAATTTGGATTCATCATTTTCTCATGCCATTGTCAAATCTTTTTTGCATAAATTGATTATTATGAAAAAAATAAATTAATAATTAACCAAGTTCAATTTAAAAGTTGAAGACAAGAGAAGAGAAAATTCATTACAACATATTAGAGTTTTAATTTTATATGTCAATATTTAATATTCACTTTTATTGCGTAAATTTAATTTTAGGAACACTATAAAATTAGCAGTAGTATTGTATTTAAATATTAGTTGCTATAATAGAGTCAATAAAAAAAATGTGTTGAATGAAAATTCACTTTATTGGTGGTAAATTTTATAGTATTTTTATATTTAAGGGAGTATTAATATTTTTTTATATAAATTAAAAAATAAGATATTTAAAAAAATTGTGTGAGTGATAAAATTAACAATATAGTAGTTTATTATTTTAGGCTTTTTTAAGTCTTAATGACTCTTATACATTTTAAAATATTATATTTTAAAATAATTTAAATAAGTTATTAGTCTCTAAAAATAATATATTTTTATTTTTGTTTTTGTTTTTATTTTTATAAAAAATATTTGATTTTATCTCAAAAATAAAAATGATATATGTTATTTTAGTTCTTAATGATGGACTAAATTTACATGTTTTTATTAAATATAAAGACTAAAATAGAATAAAAATTTTATAAGAACTAAAAGTAAAAAATATAATATTTTTAAGGACCAATAATTTATTTAAATCTTTAAAATTTTATTTGAGTTTATATTTTTATTTTAATATGAATATTATTAATTAAATTAAATATTTTTTCACTTCATTTGTGCAACAATCTAGAATACAATATATAGAATCATAAAAATTCATAATATTTAATTCAAATTATTTGATTTTAAATTTTCTATTACACTTAAAATGAGGAGTGAGAATTGAACTCCTCGAATGAAAACAACTTTTTAATTTTTTTAAAAATTTTATTTAACATTTTGTATAAGTAAATTTTTACCTTTTAAAACTAAAATAAAAAAAAGATAAAAATTATTTATTTGAAATTAATTAAATATTTTTAATATTTATTTTAAATTTATTTTCAAACTAAACATATTTTTAGACTGTGTTTGAAATGGATTTTAAATTTGTTATTTTTTTAATTCATTCAAATTTATCTTCAAATCATAAATTGTATCTAGTTATTAGGAAAATCAAATTACTAATTCATTTTATTAGAATAATTAGTATTTATTATATCTTTAGAGAAGTTAATTATTATATAGATTGAGTTATTTAACCAATTAAACTTTTTAAATTCACGAGAATGAATTAGTTTTTTACTTTATTTTTATCTTTAAAAAGGATAACAGGAGAATTTGTTTCTTTACCTGTTTAGTTAGTTTTTTTGAGTTTTTCCTCAATAATAATAATAACAATAATAAAATTAAAATTATAATAAATTTATATGATTAATTTAACATAACATTTTTAAAAAAATACGATGTTGAGTGTTAATATTTCTTTTTATATATAAATAACTTTCAACTCAAATTAGTTTAAAAATTAAGTATTTTAAATTTTTATTTAATAATTTTTTATAATTTTTTTTTAAAAATTAATTATGTTTTTAACATATGCACTCATCAACTCACTGTGACCATTATGAATATTATATAATTTAAGATATTTTTATTTTTATTATTTTAGTTTAATTTACCGTGCAATGAAAAATATCTTATTTATTGTTGATTTAAAAAAATTGAAATAAATATTATAAGAATATTTATAATAATAAATTTGATAAGAATTTTAAAATTTATTTTACCATATTTTTTAGATAATTATAATTTATAAACATGAATAATTTATATTCGTCCAAATAAAAAATATTTGGGTAATCCTTCAAATTCCTAGGTTAAGATGGTATCTTTTTAGTGAGACACCATAATTCTAGAACCTTTAACTTTTAAAATTTTTGCTAGAAAATTTATTTTTCTTTTGTTGTATTTATTTTTGCATATTTTGAACTCAAATTCAGCATGATCTTTTTAATAATTAATTAGGGCACAAACAACGACGAAAAAGACAATCCAATTTCACATACTTTTAGATTTTTCTTTTTGTAGCATTATTTTAACTCCTGAAATTTGACATGCTTAACATAAAATTCTTATTTATAAAATTTATTATTTTTAACTTATAGATACTTTTCATTCTTAAAAAGAAGTAAGACAAAACGCAACGCACAGAATTATTATCACAAATTTATTTCATCTTACATAATCTAGACATGGAACCATGTGAACACTAATTATCTTATGAGAAATATTACACTCTTTTTTAATATAAATTAAACATAAAAAACGTATTATTACTTCACACAACCACAATATAACTTCCACTTAATTATTATTAAGAGTAATGCTGTCTCTTAGATACATTATTTAACACATATATTGTAAATGATTAAACTTTTAGAAAGTTAAAGCATAATTAATTGATAAAATAAATACTTCAACTTTTTAAAACATTTCACCACTCAAGGCTATGTTTATATAAAAGAGTCTCTTTCTCTTGTTATTAATTAACGTCCTTCACATATTGGACATTAACACAACAGTGTCATTCTTGATAATGAGGGTGTCATCCAGCACTTTCTCAAACCTCTCTATAGCATCTTTTGGAAGGCAAATTGGAACCACTCTTCCTTGCTCTCCTTTGGAATTGATATAGGGAACGTAAAAGCTCAATCCAGGAAAGTCACCAAGACCACCTTTGGCCACCCCAGTATACAAACCCTTGCCCCACCCAAAATTCAAATCAGCATTAGTCTTTAAGAGATCTGACACCATAAACGAGCCTAACATAGTAAAACAAGGTCTTCCTTTGATAGCCATTAGGTCAGCCACAGAGTGCACATACTCTTCATTTGCTTCATCCTTTGCCTTCTTCACTAGCTCCAATGCATACCCTAATGGATTACCCAAGAGTTTCCCTACAGTGGTAACTGCCGCAGGAAACACAATAGCATTGCCATAATAACCATTAGGTAAAGGAGGGTTGAACATGCAACTTCCAAAACGTGCATTCACAATGCACAACAAGCGAACCTCTTGATCAGGGTTTTGCCACTGCAATGCAAATGTGCGGCAACGCCACAGATATGCAGTGAGGATTTCAAAGGAGGTTGATTTGGTTGCAAGGTGTGGAGGGAGAAGAGAACGCATTGAAGCTATCTCTTTGGGGCCAAAGAAGAAGGAACGATGATGGGGTGTGAAGATGCTTCTTGAATCAGGTGGTAGTTGTTGGTATTCATTATGAGTGCAAGTGATTCTTGGTGGGTTTCTTGCACATAGAACTTCCCTATGCCACACTGGAAGAATCGAAGGTTTT